CTGCTGAGTTTGGGGGTGGCCATCCAGGGGAACCAGGATGAGCTGGGGTCTGGGTCCTCTTGCTAGGAAACAGGAGAAAAAGCCTGAAAGGGAAATGTGGAAGACCAGAGCCCAGATTAGGAAGGTGTGAGGGGCTGCCAGCCTGGACATCGTTGTCACAAGAGATGCAGTTGCAAAGCCCTCTCCTAGCAGCAGAGGGATCCGGGGAACAACAGCCACCCTGAGCTAGCCCACGGGTGGGTTCTGGGGGACCAAGCAAAGCAGAAACACATGCATGTTAGTGCTTCGGGCCATACCATAGGGTCTGTACTGTGCTGAATCCCTGCATTCAGGTGGGCTCAGGTTCCTTTTATGCAGCTTCCCTGGGGAGGATTTGCAAGGCGGTTTCTGAGCCTTCCCTGGAGCAGGGCTTTAGCATAGGGTAATGGCAGTGGGGCATCCTGCAGCATCTCCTCCTGGGCCCATCCAAGCCACCAGCTGTTGGAGAGCTGCTTCATTTAAGACAGACAAAGCGACAGGCGGGAGCAGGACGTGGCATCTGTCACCTCTGCTAGCTAGTTTCCTTTTGACTCAGTACAGGGTTCTGGGAAGGGCCTAGGTTTCCTTGTCACTAAACCCTGTGACCAGGTGTGACGTGTATGACTGCGCAGGGCTGGCCAGGCATGAGGAACAAGGCATCTTGCAGTGGGGGTTGCAGTCATTTCCTTTCCACTAGTCTGTCTCTCCTGCTCTGCAGCATCCAGTTCAGAGTCCTGCTCTGCAGCACTGCCCTGCCGTGCCTCAGTTTCCCTGCAGAGCTCTGCTGATTCATCTCTTCCCTGCCCAGTGTGCTGACTCAGGCCCTGCACAGCCCTGTTGAGCAACTCCATCCTGGTAGGACCACTCCTCACAAGATGCTGCAATGATTTAGTAAATCAGGACTTGTAGTAGAGATGATATCTTTTATTATACCAAGAAGGGTTTTGCAAAAAAAAATTCTTTAATTGCAAGCTTTTGGGCACAAACGACCTTCATCAGGCATCAGGTCATTTGCATCATCACAGATCCTCGCAGGAGGTGAGAGACTTCATATCAGCCATGAGCTGACTGCCCGGAGGAGTTTTCCATCTGTTGACTCCTCTGTGAAATCCTGTGAGATATGAACTTGCACTTCTACCCAGGAGAACTTTTACAATCTTTTCTCCAAAGCCTGATGAAGGGTGTTTGTGCCTGAAAGCTTGCAATTAAAGAATTTTTTTTGTAAAAATCTTGTTGGTCTAATAAAAGATATCATCTCTACTATGAGCCCTGATTGCCTTTTCCTCTAGACCAGGGGCGGGCAATTATTTTGGGCAGAGGGCCACTTACTGAGTTTTGGCAAGCCATCGAGGGCCGCATGACAGGCAGCCAGGGGCAGATAAATATTCATTTTCTATATTTTTTAGGGGCCCCGCGGGCCAGATGGAATGGCCTGGCAGGCTGCATCCAGCCCCCGGGCCACATTTTGCTCACCCCTGCTCTAGACTAATACGACTACAACCTGGATACCTGCCGCAGTGATTTAGGGGATTTGAGATATGTGCAAATTATCCATCCGGCATTGAGTAGGTATCCCCCCCACCCCAGTCAAGCACCATTTCCATGGCAGCATCGGCTTGACTGTGTTCCTGCATGCTGTGGCCAGGGTAGAGAGAGGCAGCTTTGCACTGGGTTCACAGCTCCCACAGTAGATCACATCCCAGCCCTGTGGTGACACAGCCGCTGGCTCAGTGCAGTGAGCATGTCCATCACGTATAGGACCCCCCCCGGGAGACCATCATGCCTCAGCCCCCGGCCTCAGCCAGGCTGAGCATCGGCAGTTATCTGAATGGAAAGTAATCCTAAACCATCTGCTGAAGGGCAGGAAAGGGTGTCCATATGCCATTTCAGAGATGAGCCCAAGCAGCAAGGACTAAAACTGCTGCTGTCTAGTGTGACCTCTGATTCATCTCTCCTTGGAGGGCTGAGTTCATTCAAAATCCCCAGAGCTTTTCTCTCCTCTCAGCCCTGGTGCAGGAGCGTGGGGGCGAAGGAGGGAAATAACTCCTGGCTGCTCTCTGTTTGAGATAATACAATATGAATCGATCTCTCCTGTGGATGAGGGGGTTATGACTGGAGGCTGTTCAGGGGCTTCCCTTCTCATGGCCTCAGGGAAAAATCCTGTCCCAGGGAAAGGACTCCCTCTGCCTGCTGCCTCTAGGCTCGGGAGGAGAAGACCTGCAGATGCCGCGGCATTTTTGCCAACGAGCTTGCAGCCTGGAAAGGGAAGCTGTGAGCAAATCCAGCCAGTCCTGAGGCTCTGCAGACATCCAAAATCATTTAGGCCTTCATCTTTAGAAGCAATGTGCAGTTTTTAAGTACCCAACTGGGACATTGTCCGATTTCCGAAATTAGCACCCAGTGGAGCACGCTGCATGGCGGAGCCACTTGTGAAGGCCCTGATGGTCAAGATTGGTCTCCTCAATTAATACTTAATTGGGTTTACTTTTGTTGCATTTGCCATTCTGCAAGCCCCCCACAAATTTTACTTCTCTCTCTCTCTCTCCTGACCAGCAGCCACCCAGTACAAAGCCTGCTGCAGCCCTGGGAGAGCGGGTGGGATGTTAGCCAAGGAAACCAGGAGAAGCTTATAATATAATAGAGAAAATCCTGCAAAGGTGTCAGAGTAAAAAAAAAAAAAATCTAATGCAAAATAATGAAAGAACCTGTGCAGGTCTGTGCACACACTAAGTCACCCTCAGTCCAGTCAAGGAAGGGAACTCGCGTTATCTTATTTGTTCACGTACCACATTCACGTTTCCCACCCCACAAAAAATAGCTATCGAAAATTGGGATGCATGTCTTAAGTGATGGAACTGATTCTGAACAATTTAGTTAAAAGCAAAATTACCCTCCCCCTCCAGGTTGCCTTCTTTCCCAAAACGAGGTGCTTATTTTATCTCGGGAGGCGGTACGGTATGTGCGTAAATACATTATTCCTAATTTAAGGAGGTGGGTGGGGGAGGACTGAGATAAGGAGAGGGTCGATGACTTGCCCAGTCAGTGTCAGAGCATGGCTTAGAAAGTTGACTCCCTGCTGCCTAGGCTTCTCAGATTTAATCCAAGGTTTGTTTTAACAGTGCAAGGTAGGGCATGTGCCAAGTGACAGGGAACACACAGACGGTTTTATATCAGCAAGCGTGCAGCGTACAAATCCGCATCAGCCTTGTTGGCCCCATTTTGATACAAATGACTCTACAACCCACTTCAGACTCAAAGCCCTGTTGGAGCTTGCGGTCCAACAAAGCAGATGCATTTAAACTTTGGGAAACATGGCTGTTCGTTGAATGCCCTGTTCCTTGGATGTTTGCCTCCTCTTCCCCAACACTTGCCACTTAGAGAGGTCTTGAAAACTCACAGTGCCCTGTAGAAACCGTTGTTACCATACTGTCTCCATTAAAATGCTCACCCCAACTTGTAGCAGCTGAATTTGGAAGAAAGGGGCATGTTGTATGCGACAACATACGGTATAGGCAGAAGATGCAGGGAACTGCAGTTAGAGCTGCCCTGCCCCTGAGCCAGCCCTTAAAAATCCAGCCCTGTGAATGCACTAATTAATTCATTCATTAGTTATCCACAATTCTTTGTTGGCTCTGACAGGTCGAGCTGGGAGCTCCCGGACCTGCAGGATGGCAAGATCCAGGCAATAAGCGACTCAGACGGTGTGAACTACCCCTGGTACGGAAACACCACAGAGACCTGTACCATTGTGGGTCCGACAAGGAAGGAGTCCAAGTTCAACATCAGCATGAACGACAACTTCTACCCGAGCGTCACATGGGCCGTGCCCGTGAGCGAGAGCAATGTGACAAAACTCACGAGCATCTACCGGGATCAGAGCTTCACCACCTGGCTGGTGGCCATGAACACGACCACCACCGAGACGGTCATCCTGCAGACGATCAAGTGGCGCATGAAGCTGGGCATCGAGGTGAATCCCAGCAGACCCCTGGGGCAGCGTGCCAAGCTGCAGGAGCCCTCTGCTCAAGAGCAGCCCCAGGTCCTTAGCAGGAATGAGCCACTACCACCCAGTGCCCTTGTCAAACCCAATGCCAATGATGCTCAGGTACTCATGTGGAGGCCAAAGGACGGACCGCCGCTGGTGGTGATACCTCCAAAACATCGGTCCTAGCAGCCTGGCGTCGTGGCACCAGAAGGGAGAACCGAACCACTTCTATTTTAAAAGTGTACGCATATAACCTAAGCAAAACCAAGATGCACTTTGTATTCATTCAACAGAAATGCAACCATTCTACCTTCTCCCATTGGGACGGATCTCACTGTGCTAAAGCTAGAGAGGAGACCCTTGCTGAGGGTCTGTCTCGTCACTAGATTCCTAAAGGAAGAAACCAACTGGACTTTATTTCCAGGCCCGTAGCTTTCTTTTCTTCCCTCTTTTCATTACCATTTGAACTTCAGTGTCATTAGCTCACCCAGATTGTCCAGAACAAAGGAAGATTTTTATTTTAGTTCATTTGGTGGAAAGAGCTTTTTTCCCGCCCCCACCACTCTTTTGTGGAGAATGAAGCAGGCTCCTGGAGCAAAAAGCTGACTATTTATTTATGAGGAGGATTATTTTTTAAAGTGATAAAAGGTTCCGAGTTGCAAACCCAAGTCATGCGGCCTTATGTAGACTTTGCTTTGCATTGCCAAACTTTTGCCTTAAAGCTATGTTTGAAAGAAAAACAACAAAACAGACAAACAACAACAAAAAAATCCCCACCAACCCCAGCAGGCAGAATCCCTTTTCTACAGAATTTCAGGGAGGGGCAGGGAGACACGCTGGAACAAGGGATAGATGGTCCATAGGTCAAAGGGAGAGGGGGAAAGGGTACAATCGTGGCAGACACATGATTCTGATGAAAACCTTCCTGATTTTCTGTATGGATCAAGGAAGCCTGGAAATAAACCCCGCTCAAAAGCCATTGTTTTCCTCCAGTAGCAGAAAGGGAGCTTATGTTTTGCACGGAGTTGCAATGCAAGTACCAAAGCGTGTATAGACATGGCTTTGGGCGCGAGGTGCTGGGTTTCTCCCTGCTTGGTAGAAAGTTAGTCCAGGCCTTATACCGCTTATGCCGTCTGGTCAGCCCCTCTCAGCGTTAGAATAGGGAGCAATCGAACGGGTGGGGACAACGGGAGATGGGACACTCGACGGGGAAGGCAGGCAAACTGGGCTGTTCGGCCTGGTCTGCCGTGAGCGGATGAAAACGTTGGGCTCCCTCGTGAGCCCGCCGGCTGCCTCTTTCATGGCAGAGCAGCGGAGGGATCACACACATGCTGCAAGGGATGTGGGCTCCCTTTCTGCCATCATTTACTCCGGGCAAAAGGGCAGTAAGAGGAGCAGAGGTGGAAGGATCCTTCTGAAGTCATTGGAGCTGCACGGCTATAAACAAGGGCAGATTTTACCTATTAGCATCTATCTGGCAATGTCCATAATTCAGGAAGAGCCTTATCCCCCAAAACAAAACAGAATTCAGAAAACACCTGTCCTAGCTGCACTGAAAGGAGTCACCTCTGACTGTCACTTCAGACCTCAGCTAGGCTCAGAGACAACCAGCCTCCAGAATGGGCTCAGGATCGGCATCCCCGTCAGGTTAGGAATGGGGTACAAGATGGTGCTGAGACTGTCTGGTTAGGGTGGGAGCACCCACGTGCCAGGAGACTGCACGCAAGAAAGTGCCGAAAACATGAACATTGGAGGGGAGGATGCGAAAGGAAGGACGGTCTGCTTAGAGCAGATGTCTGGGCCTTAAATTGTGGGGGTGGGAGGGTGGGGGTGTTTAGACAGCCGCAGAGATAACCACAGCGACGTCTCAAAAAGGAGAAGGCCTTCAAAGACCCTTTGAAGGGAAAGGGGTACGAGATGGAGGCAAGGTCACAAGCAGGGAAAACCGTAGGGTGGCCGTAGCATGGTCCAGAGGACAGGGAGCAGGAGACCTGCTTTCTGGTTCCAGCTCTTACAGTCTGGAGCCAGGCAAGGTGCTTCCCCTCTCCTCTGCCCCTCTGCCCCTATTCAGAAGGTAACAACTCTTCCTCTCACTTGTGGATGGCCTGGACAGCCAGGGATGAGGGGCACAGCCGTGCCGGGTCCCTGCTCAGCTGGGTCTTCCCATTCCTCCGTTCCTGAACTGACATTTCCCTTCCGGCTTCGCTGCTCCCATTCTCCATGCATGATCCTTAGAGCTGAACAGCAGAGCCCTGCGCAGCCTGCCAGGTTGCTCCCTGCTTTGCACTCAGACAACTGACTTGGGCAACATGCTTGGGACACCCCCTCCTCCCTCCGCACCTGGAGTCCAAAACCTCCAACGGCCGCTTCCCAGACTGAGCCTCACACTTGAAAACGGCACAGGGAAGCCTTCGCCAGCACAGAGGGACCCTTTGCTCCTAGTAGTCAAGGGGTTGCTGGCCATTCCCCCAGGGAAATGCTCCTTTGAGGCACAGAGCTGGTCCTTAGAAGCCATTTGCAGATGATACGGGTGGATCTGGCCCAGAGGCCAAGGAAGGCTCAGATCTAGGCTCTAGGTCTATGGAGAGTGATGATGAACCAATCCCACGAGACAGTCCTAGTTTTCAACAGTAACCATCTCTCCCATGAAGTTCTCATTTCTTATGCCCAGTTGGCTCCTACTTATAGCTTAGTCTACACAGACCCCTAAGCCCAGACTGCAGCTGCTCCCATGCCACAGGGGTGGCAGACAGCGTGCAGCTAGATATCAGGGAACATTTCACACCTGTCCCTGCGGGGGCCTAGCTGCCGACAGCCACGCAGCACAGATCAGGCCTGCTTCAAAGAGCCCCCAGTTGGGTGGTAGCGGTGGGCTGCTCTGGCATTTATTCTGAGCCTGTCTTGGAGGCGCTAAGTGTTGGCCGATGCCTCTGGCATCAGTATGGATTGCAGGTTTTCAGCGCTTCTATAAACAAGTCAGACCCAATTGTCTTAATGAGCTGTCTAAGCAACAACTTCTCCCTACTCAGCACAAGTCACATTCGGAGAGGGGGTGGGGGAGCCCGGTCTCATTTCGTAACACTGGATGTGGTCTCCGGGTGCATCAAATCAGCCTCATTCCTCACTCCCACAGCCCATCCCCAGCTCACAGGATTGGAGGCGCCCATGTCATTTGATGGGGACCTCTTTGCTAAATCCCCCTGTTGCACTGAGGAGATCTGGCTGAGCAGTAAATACAAGCATCAGATTTTGCATCGGGGGCCGGGCTGCTATAACCTTCCCCAACCACTCCCTCCATCCCCTTCCCTTCTTGGAAACGTGCCCCCCTCCTCCCTTGGCGTTGCTGAGCTCTGGGGTAGAGCCGGGACGTGGCCTTGCGAAGGCTTCGTGCTTTGTGATTAAAAGCGGTGGTTTTCTAAGGCTGCTTCATTACGGAAAGTGCTGAGGACAGATTGATCGAACACAAAGGGGATGGCGGCTGGAAATGACAAGTGCTATAGACACCACTATTTGTATGGCTGGTTAATAACTAAATAGTGGTATAATTAGAGTGGGGATTAATAGCATTTAGCAACCCAGCTGGGACTCAAGTGCCTGGGGATCCAGGTTGTTTTCGTCGACAGAGGTGAACGCGCTCCCTCTCCATTATGCCACTCTGCAGGCAAGCCACGTCTGGGAAGGTGCGAGGGAGGCACCAGCCGCCTGTTGCTGGCTATGTGGTTTCACACACTCCTGGGTTCAAAGCTAGCACACGAGAGCAGCGGGGCTGGCGGTCTCATGCCCCGACTTGTCATGTGTGGGCAACTTACCTCCCTCAGCCACCACGCAGGCTGACGTCCTGTGCTATAAGTGGTCTCTGCTGCAGGTCAGGAGGGCGCTGCCTCGGCCAGATGATGGCCTTCACAATAACCTTCCTTCTCCAATGCGCCCAAGGGAGGCAGGGCTTCACGTGGGCGAGTGAGAGAGTGTCTTGTGTGATCAGCAAAACCCTGACTCCTAGCTTCCCACCACCATTCAATGCACCAACCAGCATGGCTAGAGGGATGGGCAGCCCAACAAAGCCTCAAAAGCCACTAAGCAACAATGGGGAAGGACGGAGAGAAAAGTCGGAGTGCTCCTGGGGGCAGGGGAGTTACCCGAGACCCTGCGCTAGTCGTCTTTTAGCAACTCAGCCGCAGCAATAAGAACTGTCCTCGGTCTTGCAGAGACACTGTGAAAACCAACCCAAGAAGTACCAAGTCTGGATATGTACCAAGTGGTGGAAACACAAACCCTGCTTTTATAACGGAGAGAAATAAAGCAGAGTTTTCAAACAGGTCTGCCTGGAGTGGGCTGGATTTCTTTTATGGCCTACCAGCGAGAGGGGGGTTTGCCTTGGGGCTCCCAGCCTCTCCACAAGCGGTGCACCCCGCTTGCAGCCTACGCGCTGTTCGCGTCTGTGTTTCCAGCCCTCGACAAAGCGCCAGACACATTGTGGGGAGCGGCTGCTCCAACAAAAATATATAGGTCAGCTTCCCGCTTTCTGCTACGGATTATCAGGCCGATCTGTGCCTTGCAACAGAAGAGCTGCCAGGCTCATCTAGTCGGGAGACGGGTAGACACCAGCTGAGCTTCCCCACGATCTGGTTTTCTGACACGGTTTCCTGATTGGGCAAAAGGCTTGCCAGACTTTCTGCCCATAAATACTGCACCGTGACGTGAGAGACTCAGCTTACTCAGCTGCCTGTCCCTCCCTTGTGCTCCTTAAACCATCTCATTTGGAGAACAACCCCAGGGCTTTGAAGGGCATCACGTAAAACCATAGGAGTAACATTCAGCTGCTTCTTCCTGCCCCGTCTCTCCGATTTCTCCCCTTCGGACATGCTTCACGTAGCTTGCGAAGAAGAAAGTCAGTGTTCAAAGACATGTCAAGGAGGGGGCTGGGGAATAGGCCAACCCTGCCTCCTGGGGCACAGAGTTATGAGTGGGGCTCTTGGTGGCACCTCCATGGGTGCAGATGCTTCCTTTCAGCACCCTGCGTGTTGTGCAGGGGCCTCCCCCCACCCTCCCTGCCTAACGTGCTTTCTCTTCCAGTTTTCGCTTCTTCTATTTCCAAAGTGCCTCTGCCTCACCAAAAATGTCAGGGCAGGTATCCCAGATTTGGGTGGGGGAGAGGAGGAAGGGGAGGAAAAGAGATAGCAGTCCATTTCTAGTTGTTTGAGGCTACACGCACTCGTGCTGCTCAAAGTCTCTGGGCACTTACCGCCTGCCTAGAAGAGTCCAGGTGTTTCCCTGGACGGATCAGAGAGAAGCAGAACCCACTGGGGAACCCACTGCTGATCCCTTAAGCCCCGTTCTCTATCCCCCAACCCCACTCTCTCTTTGCTGAGGATGGAAAGCCTAATTTTAAGGCACCTGGAGCTCCTCAAGAGCCAGCCACCATCCGTGGATGACTACTGTGACTAGGAGGGACATGCCAATGGCTGGGCCAGAGCTTGTCTTGCTGCTGGGCTAGATGAAAATGCAGGCCAACAAGGCCAGTCTGGCCCGCGACCTCAGAGAAGCAAAGGCTTTGAGGAGGACCCGTTTGTGCCAAGCCGGTGGGCCCCCTTTCAACAACTGATGCAAAGATCAGCAGCTCCTGCAAGGGCACCTCTGCAGATGCCGGAGGAGTGAATCAGTCCCACCCAGGTCAGAAGCCCACTGTCACCCTGATCTTTGAACATCTCATGAATTCCCGCTGAGGTCACTGCCTAAAAACAACCATGCTGCCAGAGAGGCTCTTACGCCCCATCATGTGGCCAGGCACACTGATGGAGAAAGGGGAACCTCAACTGCCCACAACCAGGAGCCTGTAAACAAAGCAGGATCCGCTACAGACTTTCTGCTTGGCGCCTCCCGTCGCAGCGACAGACACTACCCCTCTCCCCAACCCATATGGCGAGTGTGGAAGCAGGGAGCTTCGCTTCAGATCCACAGAGGTTTTTGTGTCTCTGGCTC